GGAGCGCTGGGCGGGGCTCCTGGGACGGGAGCGATGGGTGGGAGGGCTGCTGGGTCGGGAGCGCTGGGCGGGGCTCCTGGGACGGGAGCGATGGGTGGGGGGCTGCTGGGGCGGGGAGCGATGGGGAGGGGGCTGCTGGGGCGGGGAGCGATGGGGAGGGGGCTGTTGGGACTGGAGTGGAGAGGAGGGGGCTGCTGGGCATGAGGGGGGGCTGAAGGAGGAGTGTCCTGGGGCCACTGTGTGAGGAGGCCCCCCCAGGGAGGGCCAGGGCTCTGTGGGCGGCTGCTGGTAGGCGCTGACATCTCCCCTTTCCTGACTGTAGGTCACTGGCCATGGAGGGCACAGGGCCTGCGGGGGAGACGCCCCCACTCTCTGCGGCCATGCGGGCAAAGATCGAGCGGAATCGCCAGCGGGCGCTGATGCTGCGACAGGCCCGCTTGGCTGCCCGGCCCTACCCTGCCGCCCCCAGCGAAGGTTTGCTCTGACCCCTGACCTCTTCTTGGCCTGTTTCCAGGCTGTGTGAACTGAGGGCCAGACTGTCCTGGTGCCTGTGGTGTTGGCCCACAGTAGGTAGCATCACCTGGAGTGCACCACAGTCACCAAGCGCAGGTCCTTGTACTGTGTAAATGAAAATGGTTACCGTAGCCGCTGCAAAGGCACCAGCTGGGTCCCAGCATGCCTTGTTCCATCCTGGTAGTCTCCACTCTGATCTGAATGGTGCATGGCATGCTGGAAGCTCTCGGGCCTGCCCAGAATAACAAGTTAGTGCATTGTGTAGTTAAACAAAACTTGATGAATCACTTGGTGATTCATAGAATATTAGGGTTGGAAGGGACCTCAGGTCATCTAGTCCAACCCCCTGCTCAAAACAGGACCAATCCCCAGACAGGTTTTTGCCCCAGATCCCTAAATGGCCCTCTTAAGGATTGAACTCTCAACTCTGGGTTTAGCAGGCCAATCCTCAAACCACTGAGCTATCCCTTATCCCTATTTTGTTCATTCCCTCTGGGGCACCTGGCCCTGGCCCTGGCCACGGCCATGGCCACTGTTGGACGGCAGGATACTGGGCTAGATGGACCTTTGGTCTGACCCAGTATGGCAATTCTTATGTTAAAACAACCTGCAAGTTAAAGCCAACTGATATTGATGTTAGTAGTACTGAGTCATATTGGCTTCTATTCTAAGAAGCAATGAATCATGGGACGGGAAATACAAATGGTTGACAAATGGAAAAGGCCAAAGTTGGCAGGGCAAATTGGTTTCTAAGAAAGTAATGCTTACGACTGAGAATTTAATTGATTAAAACTAAGAAAAATGAATAAAAATTATTATCTTATTATGGCCAAGCCTGGATAAAACTG